AACAAGTGCTGTTCTAGTTTTCAACAGCACAGAAAAATCACTTGAAATTGCTTTCATCTTTCCATAATTAAAAAACATACTAAACAAAAAAAAAAATACTCAAGGGATTATGTATCCAGTGCTCACTGTAATTTAAAAGCCCGTAAAACTAATCTGAAGAGCGTTTGTCTTCAAGAAGTCTAATTGGTAAATTTAATCTTTTTTCTATGATTGATGAAGCTTTCTGCCCGGGATATTAAAATGCTTTTTGTTTGTTTGTCTGTTTGTTTTTAAATGATTTTTGGTTTGGGGCTTTTGGGGTGGTTTTTTTCTGTATAATTTTAAGACTGTGGGTCTCGCACAGATGACCTGTATTCTGTGTGCTCAACCAACAGTTTTAAAAGGTCTGCTCAGAAAAAGAAAATGATATCCTATCAATATAAACTCATCTTTTATTTCATTTCTTTTCTTTCTCTTTTTTCCCCCTTTGTTCATCTATTACTAAAACCTGCTTAATTATTTAAAACAGACTTTTCTATTGCCTTGTTTAATAATACATTACTCCTGCTGTGGAAAAAGTGAAGTAAATCCATCTCCACGGAAAACACTTCTCTTCTGGAGTTACCAGAACTGAGAAAATCCTGCAACTGAGAACTCAAAGTTGAAATAAAATAAACATAACCAAAAAGAACAGAAAAGCAAAACAATGCAGCTCAGTTCTGTTCTACCTGAAAGGCTTGTCTTCGGCTCTGAATTTGTACTTCACAAATCCAAACCACCCATGTATGTGGTTTTACTTTATATTAGGATTTATTCTAACATTGCACTACCTCAAGTGTCTGCAGAGGACCAGAGACTGTGAATACCAGTGAGAGGGCTTTGCACAATCGAAGTCTTGAGACACAGCAAAAAACCCCTGCAGGTTGATAAAACCTGGCTTTCAGGTTAATTGTAGTCTGAGATGTCTGCTGCACAAAATTATTCCCTTCTCCACTTGCATATACGTTCATCCTCAAGTCCAGATCCATGCACTGCAGATGTCTTCTATCTAGATCTTCAAACATCACTACTTCTGTGCTTGGCTAGGCACATTCACAGCAGGTTTCTGGTGGAGAATCTGACAGAGAAGAGTGACGGGCAAGACCTACCTAAATGGGATAGGGGCTTTCCCTTCCCATGAGATAACTGTGTGCATCTAGAAGAACACCTTTTCCTAAAGGCTGTCCCCCTCCACCACTCTCAGACATGTGCGTACCATAAGGCCTGTGCTGGTCTCCAGCTATGAACATTATTCAGTATGATGTGAAGAGATTCTCTCCTGTTTCACACTCAGAAAACACAACCTAACTGCAGTTCCACAGTCTCTTCCATCATAGGTCAGTTTCCTGATGTCACGTTTCTTGCAGATGTGCAGCTCTAACTGCTGTTGTATTTGAAAAAGATATTCTCACGAGGCCATACCCAAGGAATGGTCTGCTTTGGTTTAAAAAGTTTTCTGATAAATAGATTTTGGAAATATTTGTCAACTGTTCATCTCTCATGTGTGGCAACCTTCAAAAAAAACATCTTACTGCACTTATTCAAAGGACACTGAGAGAATTTTCCAGCTTTTATCAAATACACAAGTACACCACCTTCCTTACAAACTAGATGTCCAGGTCATCTCTTACTCAAGTAAAAGCATGCATCACTAAACCAGGGTGCACAAGCCACACAACAGCAAATACTCTCCATTGTTATATATTAAGCAGGTACTTCAATACACTATTTATTTATTCACAGAAGTCTGCTACCTGCCTCCTACATCACAGGAATACCAAGGTTTATTACAGTAGAATTGTCCGTGGGCTGTGAGTAATTTTCTTTTTTCATATACCTACCAAAGATTTCTTTTGAGGAGAAATACACAGGAATGACTGAAATGCCTGGTAGATTAAATTGTGAATAAACCTGGAAACAGGGCATCTTAAAAACAAATAGATACAGTGATCTCTAGCCTTCTTACCACTACAGTTGCTGCGTGTCTTTCCTAACAGTCCCAAACTATACTAAGGTGCAGGCTAGCTGAACACTTCTGGATTGCTGCATTCTCAAAATAGTCTCTGGACACTTCCAACTGGTATCCTACCAAGCATTCTGCTGTGAATGTATCATCCAAACGCTCAGTGCTGAGGAGTTAACAGTCTCTTTCTTGTGAAAAAAGGCAAAAGAGGTTGTCGTCTTTAATGAGTCTCAACTGCAAATCATTCTTCTGACTTCCTGGCTTTATTGCTCTCTTGTGGAGAGCTCCTAGCTAAATAAAAAGTGATTGCTATTTGGATCTAAAGAGCTCCTACCAGTTTCAACATCACATGATTAACAACACAAAATGTTTTGAAAAAGTATTTTCCAGTAAATTCTATCTCTAAAAGCAAAATGGTTTTGTTAAAAAACAATGTGAGGACAATTTTCAAAATAGACCTGCAAAATAACTGAAGATAATGAAAACACCCAATTGGCATCACTTACGTCCTTGATACTTCTGGGGGAAGAAGAGCGTGCCTACCTGAAGGTTAAACATTCTGGTTATATAATTGTTTCTTATTTCAAGGCCAATGTTACAAACCAGACTGAATAATATCTCTGGCATATACTGGTTCCAATGAAAATCTCCTGTCTGAGATCCTGTTTCTTTCTCAAGGGAGACAGAGGAAAAATCTACATTTAGATGTAAGGGCTTAAACTTTATTACGACTGGTCATTCATGCTCACTTAGCCAACACAACCTAATTTTGCCCAGTTTAATGCTAGGTAGTTATAAGAATGCTTTGTTAAAGAAGGCAGACCATTCAGACTATTAATGAGTTGGCATCTGAATTAAAAAATACAGTAAAGCAAATACGTACCTCCTATTCGGTGAAAAATAAAATTCCTACCCAGTCCAAAGTCCCTTCTTTTACAACAGATACTCCCCTCAGTCTGCTAAAGAGCTTCTAAACTATTTGCTTAATTTACTTCCTCTTTCCAAGAACACAGACTATCTGCACATCGACAACCATCACTTATCTTTACACTGAGCTACACTAATGGTGATTATATATCACTGTTTTGATCACAGCCAGCACTGAAAATCTCAGTCATGTTCTCACCTGACAGGGGATGAAAAATATCGAATGAGAAATTAACTTTCTGTGCAAAACTTGGTGACCTAATGTAAATGCAGACCAACAGAAACACAAGTTTTGTTTACTATATGAACATACCAGGCTGACTCCTACCAGCATACCTTAGGAAAGTTAAATTCTGCAAGGTGCAGCAAGATTTTGGAGAGCAGGTGGAGCACCTTCAGGAAGGACTCAGTGCTCTCAGGACCCCCAACCTGATGTCACTGCGACCATTGTGGCACTGGGTGTTACAATCAGGCAATCAGGAAGCAACAGGAAGCTCTTTGACACTCCCAGACGAAGACAGCACTTACTAACACAGACAACATGGTGATCAAAATGTACAGCAAGAGAGTAATGTGATCTATTTGAAAAAGGGGAGAGAAATAATTACAGGTTTGGGAAATTATTAAGAACTTAAGTTAAAAATAATTGTTCTCCCCTATAGAGTAACCTGAGAAGATTGCTTTAGCCCTCCACCTGTCTGCTAATCAACTCTGTAACAGACACAATTTTTAAAATATTTGTAGAATTAATTTTTGCAATACAGTTCTTTTAAAAGAAAAAGTTTCAATGAAACTTTGAAGAAGCAAAAAACTAACCCAAATATGCTAATCACTGTGTGTTTCAGAGGAAAAATAGAATCTGGAAGCTACACGTCTCAACCAGCTTGCATGTTTTTTCAGCAACCTAAATGCCATGCTCCAAAAATCTCTTCCCATTTGTAGAATACTCGCTTTCATCATTTTGAAGGCAGAAAAAAAAAAAATCAGAAGCCTGCCATAGATCTACATGGCCTGTGATCTTTTTCCATCATCTGAATTCCCTTTGCAGAGTCTGAGGTGTTTTGGATAGTTCTAATGCATTCCTAGAACATTACAACAATTCAGTTTAAAACACCAAATAACACACAAAAAGTTCTATTTTTGGTGTTCTTCCAAAAAAACAAAGGTCACAAAAAACATTCCACAGCAATAAAGAGGATGGAGCAGATGTTTGCAGTGCAGTTATCCTTGCAGTAATAGCATGGGTCCATATGATAGACTATTTTTGGCCAGTAAATTTAGTCTAGCAGCTCTTTTCATATCAGGCATAAATTTAATGCCATTAATGGTTGTTCATGAGTTTATTTTATTAGAAATACAGAAAACCCATAAAACTTCAAGTAAAGATCATCATACAGGCAGCAGGAACCACAAACTGGGAACTGATTCTGATCCAAGTTAAGCCTTGTGCCAAAAGTACAGAATTTCAGAAATGCTGATGCTGTAAATCTGAATGATGGCCTTCAACACTTACATCGTTGGAGAGTGAAAACACTTTACAGTGATAATGTAGTATGCTGATGTTCATAACATATTTCTAAAGCCTTCAAGTGGACAAAAAACCTGCAACTTTTCTGGAGTATGAATCTGATCTGTGATACCATCACAAAGAATTTTAACAGATTTCTGATGGAACTGTTAGGCTTGTTATGTGACAGCAAATGACACTTAGAAACCTAGAATGAACAGAAACACACAAGGATAAATAATAGAAGACAAAGTGTTCTGTAGGTATTCTAAAATATTCCATGGCAGTAAAAAAATGTAACAGTACCTTTTTCAGAAAAAACAAGTAAAGAATTTCATGTGACAAATTCTTGTACAGTACAACTAGGATTGGCAGTGGTTCATAAAGAAAAATTTGGCCCACTGATAATGCACATGCTTACCTCTTAAATGCCCTCTATAGTACAAATTTAAAATAGACAAAGCACTACATATTTTACTGAAGAATGAGTCACAGAACAAGAACAAAATGCACCCTCCTTCACTGCCATATATGTCACAATTAAAGGAACGAGACTTGCATAACCTGAAAGTTTTGTATACTCACATCTCCATCTAGTGGCCTCTGGTCGTCAGAGTCCCGGGTTGGACTGATGTCTTGCCTCATCACCCAGATAGGCTCCTTAGGTTCATCGGGGGTATAAGGAGAACGGATAGTCCTTGTCTTCACTTCCTCAATAGCCTCTTTAATATCCTTGATGGCCAGTGAAATTGCATCTCTCTTTTCCTTGCTGTACCTCTGTACAGATTCTCCCGAGCTGGATGTAACTCGAGAACCAGCTGGGAGCTGGCCATTACTTTCATGCCCACCACCAGCAAGACTATGACCATGCTCCACACTCTGCTCCGCCTCTGGCATGTCTTCAGCTGCCTTGTCTAAGCTCTGGGAGCTCATGCTCTGCTTCACCTCTGCTACAATCTGATCAATGTCCTCCTCTTGTTCGTAACTATCCATTCTTGGATAGGGCGCAAACTCTGCCTCCTTCTCAGGGCTGTCAGACTCTCCATCAGACCGTTCATCATAATGGTGAAGGCGGGCACCAAGTGCCTCCTTGCGGTAATTGTCAGCTTCCTCCCTTTCCCGCTCATACTGTTGGATCCCCTCCCTAACATCGAGGTCTGGTGTGTCTCCTATCTCCTCATACACGTGCTCCTGCAGTCCATAGTCAGCGTAAGGCTCAGCATACTGTTCATCCTCTCCTCGGTGGAAGAGCCTATGTGTGTAGACATAACCCGAGTAAGCTGCATTCATGGCTTCCTCGTGTTCGATGGAATGGAAATGTAAGTGATTGGGCAATGTTCGATTATGAATGGCCTCGCCATGCTCAGCCTCGGCA